GTGACCTCACACACTTGTTTTAAGGAGCAAGTGTGGCTTGGTTGGTTAGTGTACTGCTTGCTAAGCAAGAGGTCCATAGTTTGATCCTCAGTGACCTCACACACTTTTTTTAAGGAGCAAGTGTGGCTTGGTTTGCTAAAGCGTATCCAACACAAGCAATTATATAATAATGAACTTACCCAGACATCGTCATTTTATCGGTAAAAATATCCGATTATATATTCTCTCAAAAACAAAAGCAAAAACTATCATCTCCCTTACCTGATCATACCTATGTCCTCTGTCTCTATTGTCCGACCATCATCCATATGTGTTAACCATATTTATCCGACTCCTTCGCTCTTTTGTGAGTGACGTTTTTATTAAACCAATTTCTACTGCTAATGCGATATCAAATATTTTGGCAACCTGTGTAATACAACTAATTTCCTGATTCATCGACCAAAAGCCAAACAAGATCGGCCTCAATTCAATATAAAAGGCTCTTAAGAAAATAAACTTTCATGGCTGAAATAGCGCAGCGCGCTGATTCTAAAAATAGCTTAAAGATTCGGACAAACATTGCATTCTGTTTAACCGCTACGAGGATTATACAAACCGATTCTATTATTTTTACTCAAAGTTACAATAATAACCCATGTAAACTAAGATCAACTGCGATCGGCTGTGAAAATTATCTGCTGAAAGTAAACTCGTAAGTTTGTTTGTCCGAATTTCACCTTTGTCTTCGTTTTTATGGCGTCACGGCTGCGCTGCGCTATTCCTAAAATAGACCACTTGCACGTGGTTTCGTGAGGAATTGTTCTGGGGGACAAAACATTGCCTTTTTTTTTGCATAAGGAAAGACGATCTATTGTTTTGTCCCCCAGAACAATTCCTCTACGAAATCAATGCAATGGGTCTATATAAATAACCTCTAATTATGGAACATCAAAATTTTATTTTAAATAATCTTTTAGTTAAATTGAAGCAAAATTGCGGTCATGACGTCATGTGCAAATGAAAAATAAGATAAAAGCAGTGAAGTTTGCATTCTCGTTCCCAAACCCTTCTCAGCTTTCTAACGAAAAATCAGTCTCTGGTAACGAACAAAACGACCGTTGATTTGATTTGATTGGTTTAAATTYTTTGCATAATCATCTGTTTCCGATTCGCTGATTTTGCAGTCAACGGTTGAAATTTGAATACTTTACCACACATATGGGGGTCTCTCTCGCTAATTTGCTATTTTTTTCAAAATGTTATTCACAGACAAATAAACTGTTCCATAAACAATGTATGTATGAATAAGATTGTTTTTCTTTTGGAGAAAAACAAAAAACGGTTTGAATTCATATCAGAAGTCAATCTCGTACCCAGAGCATGCGCTTCTTCTGGATTGGGGCGAAGAAAAAGGGCTCTGGCATTATCAATTTTTTGAGACCAGGATTTCTTGGACTTCCGGTATAAGAGTAGTCTCCCCCACAGCCGCTTTCAGTGTCGTCACGCAACTCTTTCTCGCTCAGGGGAGAAAGCGTTGCGTGACGACACTGAAAGCGGCTGTGGGGGAGACTAGTATAAGAGCGCATACGTTAAAAGGTTTGCCAAAAATTAAAAAAAATATGTTCCCGATTTCTAATTTTTATTTTGATCGGAAGTAAATACAGAACTCTGTTTGAAAGCATTATTTTCATTGTTTATATTTAACTTCCGGAAAATTGCGCATGCGCCAAAAATGGATTGTGTCAGAGCCCTCGTTCTTCGCTACAGGCCATTAGAAACGCAGGCTCTGGGTACGAGATTGACCAGAAGTCAGAATAAGTGGAGCATGCGCATATCTGACGACCTAGAATGTGGGTCTTCCGGTTTGTGTGTTACCAGAGCCTTCGATTTTTTGGTGAGAAAGTTTGTGAAGTTTTTTTATTGTATAGAATATGTAGAAAAAATAAATATAGAAATTCAAGAGTTGGGAACATAGAATAAGAAAGCTGCAACCCGGATCAAAGATTTGATCAGATGAAGTTTATTTAGGAAAACAAGAATAACGGATCACCATAGCAGCAGTTGCTATAGTTAACCTCACGCACTAGCAGGTGCAAGTTACGTCATTGCCGCCATCTTGGTTGACAAAGACACTAGAGAAAAACGTTTGCGCGTGCGTGCATTTTAGCACGTTTCCTAAGAATTTTGAAGAGTTCGAGTGAGAAAACGTTTGTTTTCTCCAAGTACGTATACTAAAAAGTTCGAGAGTATACTTTTGTCAGAGCAAGATATTGTATTAACAAACACAATATGAAAGAATTAGCCTTAAGTTTCAAGCATGGACACTAAGTTCTGGCATTTTGTGAAGTCCAATTTATCAGGCATTTTTGAAAGTCAAATTTACTTATATGTTTTGAATAATTTGCATACGAATTCGGAGCATGCGCAGACGTTTTTCACTCGTGTCGTTGACGATAACAAAGCATTCCTCATTAGCTTCTCTTGTTAGATCAACGAAGATGGCGGCCTTTTCATTGTTACTCACATCTCAAGGGATTTTGAGTCACATGGTTGCACACACTCCATACAAACATATAGATTCCAAATTATTCAAAACGTATTGACAAACAAAGCAGCATAAAAATCCATTGCTAAGACTACAAGACTGAAGTAGACTTCACCATGACCTTCAGAAAGGGAAGAGCGTTGCTAAGTAACTATCGCTAAAACTGATTCAGATTTGTTGACTAGAACTATTCTTATTTTCAATTTGTTTCGGGAATTTTTCCAATTATATACCTATTTCAAGCAAAGATTTTCGTTCCACAAAAGCGACAGGCGATAGCAATAGGAAATAGGTCATTCCAAGATCCAAGAATAGCTGGAATGACTTGCGTTTCTATTCTCGTCAAGAATACGAAGCTTATTCAATGCAATTTGTAAACAACGAAACCATTTTAAAAGCTTTGATTATTCGCGCTTAGTTGCCAATAATTCCAAATTGGAATGATCTAACGCATATGTAAGACAGCATACCATACTGATATCCGTAACAAAACTTACCAACGAAATTGTACAAATTAGTGTAAAGTTTCGTAAGCCTATGGTATACTTAGGTCTACTAAACTTATACAAATTTGTGCAATTTTTTTCTTAGACTGTTTTTCATGGATATATAGTATTCAATTTAGTTTCACTCAAACAAACTTTTTTGAAATATCATAAAATAGAAAAARAACCTGATTTTTCCCATGTTTTTATTTATTAAGCTCTTCTTTTTGGTTAAAAACAACAACTCACTTTTCTTAGAACAAACATATCCAATATTTTATCGTCACAGTCTTACGTCTAACCTTTGACGCTCTGTGACGTTTGATTGAAAAAGGGGTTGTCATAGAAACGGTTAAAAGATCGTGGGAATGTCTTTGGGAGTATTCTGTAGTTTAGTTTTGAATACGGTTTTTTTTCCATAAATCAGAGAAAAAGCGTAATGACTTTCTAAACATATTTAATGATTTCTGTATTACAATTCGAATAGGAATAATACTTAAATTTATGTTGAATGTAAGTGTTAGTGATTGTAGACGTGTTTACGTGTTCGTGGAGCGTAGCTCTAGAGGGTGAAGGGTATTATATTCTTATATTACATGATTTCTTCCTCTCTTTCTTCCTCTCTTTCTTTCTTTCTTTCTTTCTTTCTT